AAAAAAAAAAAAAGAAAAGGTTGTGCATCACTGAAGCAGAAATGAAGCTCCAAAATGAGCAGAAACGACAAATTATTAATCTACAAAATTTGGATCACGACGACTAAATTAAATATAGAAAAAAAAAAAAATAAAAAATAGCAAAAAATAAAATATTGAAATTCACCCTAACTGCATCGTGATCTGTAAGAGAGGATGATATAAGAAAAACATAAAAATTCCTCAAATTTCTCAAATATACCAGTCTACCTAAATAGAATAAACTATGACTAATCGAACACTCTATCTACTTATGCATCATCACTAACACGGTATATGCACATCACAGCCCATTCCAATAATTGTATCGAAGTTATTTATTTCAATCAAAAATCCTAAAACGAAATGTAATTAATTACATTAATTAGGAACATTTAATAAAGAAGTCATTAAAAAAAAAAATTTCATATTCTCTCTGACAGAGATCGGTAACAAGATCACCAAATTCCAAATCAAATTAAAAAAAAAAAAAAAAAAAGAATTAACGTGAAACCTAAATTTCAACTGCTCCCAACTGTTCCAGTGATAATTAGGAGCTGAATTAAACACGTTCGTCGAGCGTTTTATAATTAGCAGTGGAAATAAATCGTGATTTTCGTAATTGGATTAGCTTCATTTCACAATATTTCTTAAATGACGAAATTCATCAAATGGAAAATTCATTTCTTAAACAAAATTTATGTACTGTATGCGTGCGTAAAAGAGCGTCAACACCGCGCACGGTATAATGAACATGTCAACGGCACAACGTTAAAAGTAAAATTTGATAATGCATATCGACCGAGACGTAATTGTGAACGAAGCGCTATAGTAACTCCAAATGAGAGAGTGTCAAAAAATTATTCGATTATTCGATTACCCGGAATATATATATTGTCTCTATATTCGTTTGAACATAGGACGTTCTATCTGTGCCATTCTAACAGCCACTGTTGCAGTTTAGAATGAAAACAGAGCGGCCATGTACATCGAAGCCATCGACGTCGTGGCGAACTTTTTGGTCATCGTCCTGGAACGATATTTCATTGGCTGGGAGGTGCACCTGCGGCAGGTGCGGTTCCGATGGAAATAAGAAATTCACGAAGCCGTCTCGCAGATTTGACTAGCGAGAAAGAATGACCGGTATCATTGAACCCGGTGGTGTCTCGCATCCGGGGAGGATTAAAATTGTAAAATTCTTTACACGCCAGCGCGCGACCACGCACACATCTTCCTCAATTCGCCCTTCAATTTTTCATCGCGGAACCATTTACATAATTAACAACGCTCGTGTCTATGCTATCGTATCGACCGGTGCTCTTCATCTGACCGCGAAAATTACGGCCAATCACTATCGAGCCTTCGAAAATGAGCACGGTAAGCTGTCTTCTCTTCGTTCTAGCCCGACATGAAGTTACGACATTTTTATGGAGTTCTTGTCTCGTTAGATGAGTTCTGACATATTGCTGAATATCGGGAAAAAAAGGTAAAGAAATTTTTCTAGTAATTTTATATACGATAATCTTTGAAATTCCTATTTTTAATATTACATTTATAATATATTTAATATTATATTGTATTTTTTTATATTATATTTATAATATTATATTATATTGTATATCAATATCATATTATATTTAATATTATTTAATATCTTAATGCCCGAATGTACATCTGTTTGTAATTAACATCGACACGAGAGCAGTAAAAAAAATAATTTCAATCATTCGTAGTGAAGACAATTAAAAATAAATAATAGCAATTTCTTCGAGATTTATCGACAATTGGCTAATTTTTACTCGATTTACATTATTCTCCGAACAATGTTCAAAATAATTATCTTTTGCATCTCCGGTTCTGACTGAACTGGAAAGGCTGAAACTAAATTAGTTCGATACAATTAAGCGAATTCGCTTGATTGTTTATCTGTACGACAAATTCCTGAACTTTTTCCAAGACGGTTGTACGTCAAGCCAAGCACTACGAGACACCCGGTTACGTCAATAGCACGTTGACAAAAGCGATATTTGGAAAATCGCGTCAATATGTAAACGATATTCTTACTCTTACAGACTACAGCATCTCCAGTGCATGCAATGCCAGGAATAAATATTACCCGGTCAGGCATGTAAACGCGTCACTCGCCTGACCTAGTTTAATCCACGCGATCATCCTTCTGCGCTAATTAAGTAGACACGTCCGCTTTTATATACTGGCTGATTCTACGATATTTGATAATGGATGCTACAAGAATACGGACATTTTTGGCCAGTTTTCTGATAACAGCGTACGAATCTCGCCAAAGCGCATAAATTAATGGGAATACTAATTAACTCTTTGCTCATTAAAATTATCAAAAGTTTTTAACGTCAAATGGAAAGCATACAATAGATTAAGGACGCGTTCCTGTTGAAACATTATATTTATTCCGTATATAATAATTTGCTAGTCTCTTTGAACCTTTAATAAATAAATTATTTTAATCCTTTGTCTGTGTTGTACATAGCTTGAAAATATCACCTGAGCTAATAGTTTTTCGGCATAAGTTGGTTAATACTTTTTCATAGAGAATGAAACGATATATCGATCAATTGGTGTATAAAAATATAGAACTCCATAGAATCCAAAAATTAAGTTGACCTAATCTCCTAAATACTTTCATCTACGAATAAACCGATTTCACCAAAAATTATTTCCCCCTCGAAACATAACACATTTTTTGAAGAGTTTAAACGATCAAAATTTACAGATCAAAATTGGGCGTCCCTTATATGACGTACTATATATAACATTATATGTAATATTATATAATTTGTTATACGAATATTAATATTCGCATTGAATGATAATATTATACAATTCGTAAAAACAACAGATAAATGATACATTGACGCTCGTTAAAAGAAGAATGAGAATTACAAGCATCTTTATATTTTTAGTAAAACACTAAAAAGATATAATGTTACTATAATATAGTTACAAACGATGGAAATATTTTAATTTTTACACGGATGTTGTAGAAAACTTGTTTCACTTGTTCTCTCGCAATCCGTTCACGATAGACATAATAATAGTTCAACTTTACGCGGGACGTCGAGCGTAATTTTATCTGTTTGTCGACACTGCTCGTCTAATCAAAAATAGGCCCGAAATTTATTAATAATTCGTTGCTCGAATAACCAACAACTAAAAATAACGCAATCGTATTAAACGCTTTTTGTACGCAAATCGGCATAAAAATCGATGAATCTTAAGCCTTAAGCACATAAACCGTCCAAGACATTGAAAAAGATAGATTTCAAGAACAAAGACAAAAAAAAAAAGTAACGTTTGCCGTTTGATCGATCCAATATTACAAAAATAATACGGATCACGAAGCGATAACGATAGCGATAACGAATTTATCGATCGTGTACGGTTATTTCGAATATATATATATATCGAAAAATCCCATCTCCGATCAGGTTCTAATCGAAAAAGTTCCTAGGAAGATTTTTCCTATAAATAATACAACGGAACAGACGCGAAGTATCTAGGTTAGGATGAACGAATCGTGTTTACACGCGTTTGCGCCTCGTTGCGTTTCGTCTGATTACCGTTGCTAAATTTACTGTTTCGATAATAACGATGCTCCATCATTGAAACATCGTTCTACCTATGTTCCCTTACATGTTTCCTACGTACCATGTTTCTTTACCGCGTTAGAACACGCGTAAAAAACGGCGCGTACCATGAGCCGTTAAAAAGACAACCGTGCTTATCGATAATGATTACGATGCACGCTCGTTAGGTACGATCGCAATTTTAATTTGAATGCATACACACAACGGTCAGAATCGATTGAATGATAATCACAGCTCTCACGATCGCCATCAAAGGAAGTCGAACGAAGCAAGATGACCCTGAATTCCTCGTACCAGGGTCAGAACAAAGAGACGAGCCAGTAACGAGTCGCGTAGTAATAACCCTATGCCCCCTATTAACGAGAACGCTTCTTGCTCAGCTCACTAATGGAACGTGTAATTCGTTCTTAACACAACGTACGTGTATATATATATAAATATGTGTGTGTGAATAATCGTAAACAAAACTGTTACGTAAAATTCTAAGTATAAAGATGGAAAGCTTTGTTTCCGTAGAAATAATATAAAGATAATATAAAGATAATAGAAAGAAACAATACTCTTTAATTCAAGGAAATGAAAATGATACTCGCGTAAAAGCTAAGTTTGATACATGTGTTTTGGCTCAAGGTTTGCTCACTTCTCTTTTAAATTACTTTCTGTCAGAAGCTGAAACATCGACTATGTTTAGCCACTATTAATTCATTCACCAATATAGCTAGATGATTTAACAACTTTCACAATAAACATGGGAATATTGGAAAAGTAGTATGTCAATTGTCAACGAAATTAATAAGTTGAGAGAGTCGCATTAAATTCAAATTAAATGTTATCTATTCGACAGGAGGAGGGGAAACAAACAAACATCGGATAAAACATATTATTGATATGTAATAGATAAGCATGATTTTTTATTATTGCGTGACAACGTTGCCCATCGAGAACTACTACATGCTTAATTTCCATCCGACTTAAACTGAGTGTTAAAAAGAGATAAATTATGAATATCTCAGATGGTGACCTCTATCGTCAGGTACTATGTGGGTAATGGAACGAGTTTAGTCAATTAACGACTGTTTTATCGACAGAGTAAATCCTGGGGCAATGACCTCGATGTTGAGAAGTGCTTGACCTATATATCACTAATGTATCAAGCGTCCGTACACGTGTATAACTCGTGTTCTATTATTTGTTATCACAATCATATATATAATTTCCATGAACCATTTCTCGTTGCTAGTAATATTTTCCCTATTGCTATTTTTAACATTTGCGAAATTAAAATTAGCAATGCGTCATATACATAACGTCACGTCACGTACATAACAGGAAAATGACGATGGATTGACGTTTCGATAAGACGTTTGTACAAAACAGAATGCGAAGGTCATTTCGTAATTCCTCGTTATAAAGTGTCATTCAATCATATTTCATTCATATTTTTGCACAACATCGAATCGTAACGTTCGAACGTTATCGATCGAACTTCAACTAATTTGACCAGCGAATAAAAATGAAACAAGTATTCATGGCCATTGCCAGAGTAGTCGCTTTAAATAGTTAACGGCGAGCGTTTTAACTTAGGTCAATAGCACGCGATTGATCACACTATTTAGGTTTGAGAAACATTCGATGCTGCTCGAAATACAAAGTTCGACTCGATTGTTATCTGATTATCTGAAACTCTTAAACATTAAGATATTTTTTATAATGATGTCATCTTATTCGATTCGGGTCTCAGAAACCTGAAATATTCGCACCGATATTTTTTCATGTCGAAAATTCGAACGTCATTCTAACTTACGTAGTTTAGGGACAGTTAAAGGGAAAGATCGAACGGGGGCATGTCTTAAGGAGTCAATGCCCTATTGATGACAAGAGGGTACACACCCGATTCAGATCGTAAACGAATCGATGTTAGAAGACAATAACATCGGAACTTTCCAACAGCGTAGCAGACGAATAACATGATAAATGATAATAATTATTTGCGTTAGTAGGTTAATAATCGGGTTCTAATATTTTTAAGAGTATTTTTCTGAATTGCGTACCTGCCACCTCGAGGACACTGCCGAATTATGCGTCTCGTGCGACGACAATCCAATAACCAGAATCCGATTCAGCCACGAGGGGCTGTTATTTTCGTCACAAAACACCGCACATGTTATCACTAGACATTGCACAGTCTCATTACAACGTTGTCCCTTCTATTTGGTCAAGCAATCGTCACAAACAAAAGTAATTTATACGAATTCACCTTTGTACCCGGCGCACTGCCGCCATATTTCCTGTTGTCCCGACTACTCAGACCTTACGTAACCATAAAGTATAAAACGGTATAAGAGAGGTGTACCTAGAACGCGTTTTAAACGCCAGTGCGCATAGCGCCATATTATGATTTCAATTTCAATGGAAACGATTGATCTGTTCCTTCTTTTTATACGTGAGCCTGGAAATAGATTAAATATGTACTTATTTATATCCCGTTTATAATTTTACTTCGTTTACATCTTCTACATTGAAAGATTTTTACATTGCACAATTTCAACAGATTGTTTCAACATACGAACTTGATAATAATAAAAATTAAGACGTGAAAATATTTCCATCATAAGCGAATAAATAAATAAATTTAATATTGTTTCACGCATGTGACAAGAATAGATGCATGCATACGTCGCGTGATAGCGTCAGCAATAGTTCGAGCCACAAACGAGTTATACGAATAGACCAAGCATCTCATGGGATTTCATGTTCAATGCTCTGAAATACCGACATAGTAAAAAATCACTGGCACAGATGAAGTGAATAGATCTCGCATACAATGTATTTTTTCGGCCCACGATTGGGAGGTCACGGGACTACCATACCATTTTCACGTTCTGTTGTACCGATTCAGACAGATTTTGCACCGCAGCACCACTAGTGATGAGAATTAAAATCAAAAAATATGGAAGTGCTGCCAGTTTGTTTCGAGAATTATTGAATTGAACGTGATGGTACTTTATCAATGAAGTAAAATTGTAAAATTTTAACTAAATAGAATCTAAAAACTGAAAAATTATTGATTACTGCAATAAAAAATGTATTTTTGGAAGTATTGACAAAGATCACCTGTTACGCATTACTGACTTTACCTGAAGATTGAGCTGAATACTCTAATTGTTTAAACATTATCTAATATTTCTAATAATTTATTTGTATCAATTAAGCAATAAATTCTCTTTAATAACATTTTAACAACTATTTAAAATTTTCACTTGATCATTTCTAGCGATCGAGTCACTAATACATTTTTACAAAATTTTTTGTAAACTGTTTCCCGTCGAGCGATTAACGCGGTCAAATAAATTTCGATCGGTAGGGAAATAAGAGCTCAATATAAATCGAACTTTCGTTGCGTACGCATCGACGCAAATTTTAGAAGTAATTTTTTATATAATATTCCCGAATATTCTATTTGTTTAAAAATTATCTAATATTTCTAATAATTCACTTGCAACAATTAAACAATAAATACTCTTTTATAATT